ATCAATATGTTGTACACGTTATGTAAAATTCATAAATTAACACATTGCAATTAACTTATCTCCCTGTACTAAAAAGGATGGTGATAGAACTGGCCATTTTGCATGTTATGCAAGGTACATCCATATATGACACAAAACATGTGTTTTTATGTTGCTTGTCCTTTGGGTTAATATGGCTGATGGCTTACAGTTACCTGTCTTTTTTGTCCGAGAAAATGTGTAGTGTCCGTTGCTCAGTAATAACTTAAAATAGAAAAGCTGTGGGTGCATATGATTTCAGGTTTTGAAACAGCTAAAGATGCTGACTTAAAACACAGTAGCTATTTCAGTCTATTTCTGTAATTATATGAAATAATGTCAAAAAACCTCAAGGGTGTAGTGTCCGTTGCCATGTAGTGTCCGTTGCCAAGTATACCATATAGGTACATTAATTACATTTTGTTGCAATTTTGAAGTAATTTTTTCATTTATGTTATTTCTGTAGCATTTTGTCAACCCCTAATGACAGGTCTTGCAAGATTTGGTGTTCTTGTCCTGTACTTGAGCGGCCAGATGTGGCCGGCAACGGACACTACAGCTTAGCTGTAATGTCCGTTGCCGGCCACATCTGAAATGAGTGGGCTAAAGTTTGGAAGAGCACAACTTTTGAACTGAACGTCTCTATCCAAAAATTTAAAAAGTGCAATGTATGGCAACACCTCTAGTGCGATTTTCTGCACTGAAAGTAGAAAAATATAAAACTTGAAAAATTGGCCCAAGTGCAACCCTTTGGCGCACCCTGATCTCGGAATAGCCGATTGTTTAAGTTTATTTGTTGGATAGTTTTAGTCGAAATCCAAAATAAAAATCCCTACCTACTGACCTTAGTTTTTTTCAGGATTGAAACCCGAAACACAACATAAATTTTTCTAGGCCTAAGCCTGGTTCCACTATGCATGTGTGTAATTGTAGAAAAGAGGGGAGACAATTTATCTTGTACGTTGAGCCTGTGTGTAGTGTCAAGAGCATCAGTCCCTGTCAGGATCTGTGAACAGTTGACGGAGGCGCACTTCCGTTTTAATCTAACGGCCCGTTCCTCTGTCGTTTTCAGCGAGTACCTGTCGTGCGCGTTCTCGTTCTTCCTGCACGGCGAGAGCACGGTCTGCACCAGCGTGGAGATCCAGGAGCACCAGTTGGTGGAGCGCCTGTCCGTACAACACTTCAACAACGTGCAGGGCACCGCGGGCGGCTTCCATGGTCAGGAACTCACATTTAGTTTATTTTTTTACTTTCTAAAAAATTTTTGAATCTTCATTCCCATTCTCGATACATTGTACAGAAAGTATAGTAAATACAGTACATAATGATACATTAGAAAAATGAGTACGCATTTTGTAGCATTTAAAGAATTACAGAGATGGTTGTCGTTGTTGTCACCTTGAATTTAACTTTTTTGAAAGAATGTTTAACACTAGTTGAGTCTTTTCTCTAACATAAGGTTTGAACTGTAAGTACCAACACAAAAAATTGGACTTATCCAAATTTTTCAACTGTTAAACTAAAATCATTGTCAAGGAAAATGCATTTCTATAATTTGTCTTTTCAAATCAGAAAAATGTTTTTCTTGATTTTATGGTTTCTATTCCTGCATGCATTTCCAAGTGAACTATATAAAGCAGTGTTCTAGTTTTTTCCGTCATGGGCAGCAAAATTCTGACAAATGACTGAAAGACTGATGCTGGCTATAACAAGTTGGTATAAAGTTTTCCGATTTGTTTTGAGTCAGTGGAAAACTTGGCCATGTCTCACACATGTCTGTTTGCACTGTTGTACAGTCCTCCTGAGTCCATATGGCCTGCACGCCACTCTGACGGGGCGGACCTACAAGGCCAGCGACCCCACCACACACAGGCTCCTGGACGAATGGAAGCACTTCTACCCCCTGAGCGACCAGGCGTCTGCAGACGTGGGGGCCGCAGGGGACGCCAGTAACACGCTGCCGGTAGCAGTGGAGGTGGTTGTAGGTAAGTGTTGAGTGCCTGTGTCTTTCTAAAATAGCTGTATAGTGTTTAGTTAGTGCAGGTAAAATTGGAACTGTGCAGGTACTTCTGATGTAATTCGTTGCACACCTGAGCAAAGCTTGATAGCAATGTTTTCTTTTTTTTACAGCACAAATTTTGCGAACTATGGAAGGTTTTAGGTATATGACTGGTTTATTTCACACAAATACAAATACAAATACAATACCATAGCAGCCCTTCGGCTGAATTGTGGTTATTGTTTACATTTAAACAATATAAAATCAGCTACAATGTATAACGATTCAATACAACAATGTTAAACAATATAAAATCAGCTATAACGATTCAATACAACCATGACTTACACAATGAACATGTCAACTATCATTTAGTAACTTTACAATGAAAGGTGAAGTACTGTTCTTTTTGGATATATTTTGGATGAAAAGGGGAATGTGACATGACTTTTTTTTCTTGTAAGTCTGGAACCGTTTGTGCGTTTTTTTTTTTTGGACTTGAACCGAAACGTTTTTACCAGTCCAGAATCCGTCCGGTGTACCAGTACACAGCATTAGGGCTATGTACTGGGTTTATATGCAAGTATAGGTGTATTAACTGTCACCACCCATGTAGTGTAAAAGAAAAAATGGTAATTGTTTCTGAACATTTTTTTAGTATGATCCACCCTTTCTAAATTCTGAGTGGTCCAGGTAAAATTTTTCTGCTGCATGTAATTTTCCATGTTACTAGTGCAAAGTATTTCAAGCCCTATTGTTATATTAGTGGGGTTGTATTACCTAAGTAATACAGACTATGTGTTTGTTTCTGTCCCGCTATGCTAAGTATATATCATCCCTGTAGGTGGTTTGTTCAATACATGTGATGCTGGGCTAAGTACATTTTATACAGGTAGGGGGTACGCAGTCATGTGTGATGTTTTGATACTTGTACCATAGGGCTCTAGCTAGCTCAATTTTGTAATTTCATGATTGGACCTGGGGGGAGAAGAGTGCTCACACTCTAGGGGGTCTGGGGCAAGCTGTGGATTTTGAAACCTTTAAAAATGCAGTCTTCCACATTTTTGAGAGGCTTGAGATGGGGTTGAGAGTGGTTGTTGGTGGTCCTTTGTATGTTTTATATTTTTACCTAAGATTTTTGTCAATTTTGTCACATCATTGACGGATTGGTTTAAAAAATGTTGTTTAAAAAAACGGGCTGGTTAGAGCCCTAATGTACCACTGTACTAAGTATCAAGTATCTGTCCTATCCATAGGTGGTGTGCGGATGTGCTACCCTACTGAGTATGTGGTTGTGCCCATGATCCACTGTGAGGAAGGGACCCAGACTGGAAGCGGTGGGGCCAGCCTATCTGCAGTACAGGTGAGATACAGATATTTTCAAACCTTCATGTTTTACCACCTAAGGCCACACCAATTTGATTTATTGGTCCTCTGATTTTTTTTTCAGAAAAAGTATGAAGCGACCGGGCGAAAAAAATAATAACAGACCTAGCTGTCCTCTGATAGCCCCGAAAGCTATGATAATGAACTTTTTATCAAACCAATGCATTGATAGATGGAAAAACTGTAACAACAAGGAAGACAAGCTTTCTTCAACTGTTTGGGCCAAATTGTGAGCATTTCGGAGTTGATTCAGAGAACCCAAATCTTGTTTTTTCTGAAAGTCAGAAAAAAATGGAGCAGGCAAATCTGAGAACCAATGACTCAAATTGGTGTGGCCTAAGTCTCTCATGAGAATTTTCCCTAAAACATGAGAAATTATATAAGTCATTCTAATATTAGTGCATGTATGATAACCAGGACTGTCGGTATAAGATATGAGCTAATTCTGTAAACTGGGTGATCTCTAGATCCCATATCGATTCAAGTCCTCTATGATAGATGATACCTATTAATATAGTGATGTATGCCCATATCATAAATATTAAATCCTACTGTATTGTGGTAAACAGAGCTTGTTATTATAATGGTAGGGATCTTAGCTTTGTGATAAGTAGTAGTTTTTCCTATCAGTGACAACAGCATGTTGTCCATGTAATGTTGGTGATTATAAATCTTGATATATTACTCTGTATCCATCTGTCACGGATCTACCATGAAATATGTCGGGGGGTGCTAAGCCTTTAAAACTGGGTGAGTTGCAGTCCAAACTTGACCCCTGCCACCCCCTCCCGTGACGAATGGAACCTGCCAACGACCTTAACCCCAATGGCCATAACTCTTAAATCCAACAAGGTCATCTGTGACATAGGGGTCGCCCTGTGTGGGATGGTATGCCATGGGGTTGGATTCGGTCAGGACTTGTCAGAAACCAGAAACGCAACTACTTTTTGGTAGGATATTGGTAGGAATTTGAATCCCAGTTTAACAACTATTTACAAATCATTATGAAGCATAATGAAGTTATCATTATGAAGTTTAAACTGTAATTTCCGACACAAGAGATTTAACTTAACCTAATTTTTGACTGCAACTCCAAGGAATAAGCAATCCATTGCTTCTGTGACGTATTCACATATAAATTAGGGATACCTTTTTTAGCAAACATTTATAATGTGTGAAAAATCTCGAATTGAGTACTACATCAGAAATAAACTTGAATTTTGCTGAATTAGAACAAGATTATGCTAAATCCATAGTGTCTTATGTTATTCCTTCACTTACAGCTAAATTCAATCCTAAATTTACAGATAAATTTACAAATTTTCTAAATTTACAGTGAAAAACTAGTCTAGCCATACAGGTATGTGGAAGGTTACATGCCTGACAGAAACCTTACTCTATGACTGGCCAGACCACCAGGAAGTAGGGGCAACCTCAAGGTCATTTGTGACCTCAGAGGTCAGGATTCTTGGCAAGGTCAGGACTTGCGGACTGAGCCATTGCAAAGATGAAACTAAAAAAGTAACATTTGCAAAGCACATGCATAATGTTTACCTTCCCATATGGTCTGCTCTGTTAATTCTTACTCAAACACATTCACATATATGGTGACAGGAGTCTAAATCCCTCCTATATAAATTGCAACATTATATAACCCAACACCAGTTACCATGGTGAGAGACAGTCTTGTTCGGTCAGGTCAGAGGTTACTGTTTGGAAAAGAAGAAACGTAGCAAAAACAATGTTTTCCTTTGGTGAACATTAAAAAAAAATGTCCAGTAAAACAGTTGCAGATTGTTAACATGCATCACTGGTGCTTGCCAGTATTTTGATTTACCTAAAAGGTGGCAGGGTGGTCTTGTGGTTAGAGTTGTTGACTCAGAATCCAAAGGTTTTGGGTTCGAATCCCTGGCAGGCCCAATTGTTGTGTCCTATTTCCTTACTGGAGGTGTAATTGAGTACCTAGCTTAGGTAAGAAACATTGTATCAAACATAAAGTCAAGGTCCTGTGTTTGAGGAGAGACATACCTCAAGAACATTAAAGAACCCACCACACTTATTGAAAAGAGAGAGTCTCAATTTTGACATCTTGAAGAGGTGATAGTCACCTGTTATGTCAATCCTTCCACAAATGTGGTAAAGCCTATAAATAAGTGAATAGATAGATAAATAAATTTAAAAAAAAATGTATGTAACTCAACCAGATGCTGAAAGAATATCAATTTCCACCCATGGGGATCTAAGATGTTAATGAGGTTATTAATTTTGCTGTCTCTCTCAACCTCATCTAAGATTAACAAAGGTAACATGATAAATGTGAAAATGTTTCCTAATGCAATTAAAGTATGGGAAGGAAAAGGATGACAAATGACACCTTGCGGGCAAAACATTCTTTGTTCCGACTTTTAAATCAAGACTTATTGCATCTCTCACCTTCGAGTATATATTTCGATGAAAGGTTTATATTTGTTAAGCCGTCTTTGGCTTCCAAATGCAATAAATATGTGTTTGTTGCATCGTAAACTGCTGTGGTGGAATCATGGGAAGTGGAATGAACCAAGATGAAGTAGGGGTGGGGGCAGCATACCACTAATTTTTGTTTCAAGTGTTTTGCATATGCAAGATATTTCCCCCATTAGGATTATGTATGCATGCCAAATTTTGTTCTTTTATTTATTGTACCTTTGAGAAGTATGTCTTGAAATACTAATGAAAAACTAAGAACATAAGATTTTTATTACCTTCGTCAGAAGGTTATGAGTTAGGTGCACCATATTTAAGGGTTTTTTAATCGGTTGTAAGTCAGGGTGTAGCGCATGTGTCTTCATGATATTTGGTAGGTAATTTGGGGTTGTGATGACAAAGGTCAAGTTCAATTATGGGTAGTCTAGCGGCTTTGTACAGTACTGCAGCAGTGTACATGGGTGGGATACCTCCATACAAAGTTGATTTGAGCTGAAGCAATCTTGAAGGATACATAGCAAACCATACTGCAAAATAACTTACTTTTAGAAAAACCAATGCAAATAACAAACGACAAAGATTTTTGACCTCTAGTTCCATACCATTCTCAAGTGTGTGTTTTCCATCATATGTATATGTATTTACAAAGGTGTATACTTGCCCGTACATGTGTTTGGTATAGTAACATTCCTGTTTACTTACCAAATTACACCCTGATATGACAGTAGTGATTGATGACGTCCTTTGGGGCCATCCATATCTTTCTGTAGGCCACGTTTTTTTTCTCAGTTTCAACATTGCCATTAACATTGCCTGGTATGTTGTAAAAAATTCATGGCAATCTGTAGTTTTTTTTTTTTTTTGATTAGAAGAAATATTTGGTATTCAAGACGTTTAGAAATTATGGCTACAAGCCCACAAATCTACATCAGTGAGCTTCATCACTTTGGAGAGGCTTAATTTTTAACAGTGGTAACCCCAGGATTATACTGCACATGGGAATTTCTATGTAGGAATTAGCAGAAATGTATTGCTATTATTTGTCAAATTGCTGCAATTCATGCATCATTTTGAGATTTGGGAATTGGGAGAAACATTGATAAAGGTAGTTAAAAGGAAAGTGTAAAAGGAAATTGTGCAGTTTTTAGATCAGGTCTTTGTACAAACATTAAAAATGTAAGGTTTTCAAATACCGTTTTGAAATAATGGCAATGGTTTCTGAACAGTTTTTAGTATGATCCATATACTTCCTAAATTCTGAATGGTACAGGTAAAATGGGTCTGGTGCAGGTAATTTTCGATGTTACCTGCACCAGTGCAGGTATGCAGAAAAAAATGTATTTCAAGCCCTGTTTTCCCTCCCACCACACTTAACCACATGCCAATCACACACCCGCCGATGTTAATACTAAAAGTGGGTATTTCCTCACCCACCCATGGTCTCCCCTGGCTGTTCCGTTATCCCATCAGTTCTCACAACTGCGGTACCAAAAGGCGGATGGCCCGCTACAAATTGAAGTGACCCAGGAGCGTGATTCCCTCCCTCCTTGCGCGTGGTTGATGGGGAGTTATGGCCCGACTGGTCAGGGCTGGCAAATGGCTCCATGCATCACCACACCATGTGTGTCCGCACACTGCCCTGTGAAATCAGCGCTTTGCTAGGCGTAATTACCAACCACGGTGCCCCGGCATTGCCGCGTTTTTCGCTTATCCGCGTTACTGTGCTTAAGTCAGGGCTACGGGATTAAGTACTGAATTTTCATGTTAGTGAAAGTTTTTATGTCGATGAAGGTTAGACATCCAGGTAATGAAATACACAAGGAAATTGCTACTCAAGCAACTGGATATAATTATCTTGAAAACTGTCAGACGCTTCAAGTAGCATCCATTACAACACACACACAAATACTCACCGGTAATAATCACAACACATAGTAATAATTACTAATATCTTGGTCCCCATGTTGCATTAAGGATGTTTTGCATCAAAAATTATCTGTATCTATCTTAGAGCAATTCCAGGTTTTCATCCCCCAAAATATATGGAACAGAAAATATGAAGTACATATATGATGTCAATGTTTTTTACTCCTGTCACTTCATGATATTTTGAGCGGAATAGCCCCTAACCTTACGCTCATATAAATGCGCCGTGACGTTTGGATCATAAAGTCTAACCAACCGTGTAATTGGTAACCATGACCTTAAAATTTCGAAAAATGAAAAGTGAAATTGAATATCTATGAAATCTTGCAAGTAGGAGGAATGATCGCCCCAAGATGGGAAACCAAAGAGGACAGGGTCAACTAATCCCTTTGTCCTAATGATATATTCGTGATCTTTCCTTTTGTTAGCTACAAGTGCAAGTGTAGTGGAAAATGCTGTATCAATCGAATTGGGATTGGTATTTATTATGCAGCAGTATCCCAAGTGTGCCACCTTCATTTTGTCTCCGGTATCGCCTCAACTAGCCACATCCAATTTGAGAAAGGCCGACAAACTTATTAAGGCCTTATTAGATTCTCCCGACCACAATTTATTCCGGCGGTAGCGTATTGACATTTTGCGACTGGGATGAATCACCGTGACCCAGGCCCCTCCCGAAAGGCGCGTAATGAATTTTTCTTTACAAGCTCGTACTCAAATTGATGATGGGGTGCCGCCAACCCCAAATCTGGTTATTCCGCAATTAGAACCATTACGGAGGCACTGGTAAGAAGTGGAAGGAATGGGGAATTAGGTTCTGTAGCAGTGAACGGTGATTAGTTTATTCCTGAGGAATGTTATCTCTCTCCGTGAAACAAGCGCCATCCCGCCTGGTCAGATATTGATACGGCAGTTATCGTGATAGATGGGAATTTCCCGCGGTGTTAGGGGGAAGCGTACCGCGGCGGTTATGACGGTAACGACAGAAAACGGTGTGGAAACATACGGAGCAACAGATGGCAGCCGTACGCGAGATGTTTCCCAACAGAGAGGCATAAAAGTTATTCACAGCAAAGGCCTGAGGATATGATACCAACTAATAAGAATATCATCGCATCTGTCATAATTTTATTCATAAGTGCTGTTAACACTTCCCTCTGTGAGCCCCAAGTTTCACATCTGTGACTCGAAGCAAAATCTTTCCACTGTTTTGTTTACTGTGAATTAACAGCAGTCAGTTTTGTTCTTGCAGATTTGACAAATTGATTGATGACAGAATTTATATTGTGGTATTACCTTAACCTTCCTGTATAAGAATGTAGCACTGATGATATACATCAAACATGTCAATTTCAGTAGAATCTGTACGCCTTGAACATTATTTAGGAGGATATCACAAAATAACCCGTGTGAAGTCACGATTTCGGAAGTGTGGCTGTGTTAATTACACAGCAAGGGAAGAGTTAGAAATACAACAGCAGGGCTGGAAATACCACCTGTATATGCAGGTTAGTGCAGGTAAAATTGGGGTTGTGCAGGTGTTTCTGATATCTACCTGCACCTAACCCACAATGATCCTTGTACTTAGTTTATATACAAATGTAGGTGTGTGTGGAATTTTATAAGCTGTATTGACTGTCACCACCTATGATTTGTAACAGAAACAATGGCAATGGTTTCTGAACAGTTATTAGTATGATCCATGCTTCGTAAATTCAAGTAAAATTGGTGCAAGTAAAATTTGTCCGTTGCAGGCAATTTTCAATGATACCTGCACTAGGTGTGCAGAAAAACATACTTTGATCCGTGCATAGGAAGTTGTATGAATCCCCTTATGGATGGCGATATATGAATTATGGTTTATTTTAACTTCAAAACTGTTGCAAACATAGCAGCCAGAATGGCTGAATTGTGTTGTGACATGACAACAGTTTGGTAAGGGACACATTCAGTCATGTAAAATACTAGAGTAAAAACAATCAAAATTTTCTGTGTCCCACAGCCTGTGATGGGGAAGGGTTCTGCACCCATGTCTACGCTGTCGTCCATGTCCCTCACGCCGCCGACCTCCCCGCTCAACCAGACCGTGCTTCCGTCCGGCACCCGAGGAGGCAACCTGGTGACCGGCTGTCCCGCCAACGCCGGCCGCACCGTGGAGGACCAGCTGGGTTTCCGCGACGCGTCACCCGAGAGGCTGGCGAGGAAAGTGGCGACGCAAGTCTGGCAGGACAGCTGTGTCACCACGGGAGTCAAGTAAGTACCAAGTTTGTCTGACTACGAGAGCGAATAATAACTGATTTACAGTACTTGTAACACATTGGCAGAACGTACTGCACTTGAGCAAAACCCGTAATGTATTGTGCATAGCAAAAAAAAACTTTGGCAGAACGTCTCATATAAGGTCGTATTCGCGAATATTAGGTTAACATCCCATCTATAGTTTTCAAAAGTTGTGTCGGAAAAGATGTCTGCAAAAGGCAAAATTCTGATGCAACGTTGATCAAACATCCAACGCAAACCGTGAAAAAATAAGGGTTTTGTGCAGGCGTGGTGCATTCTGCCGACGTGCTTGATCAGTTAATGTAAGTCAGTTAATATTTGTGAGAGCAAAATTTCGTGGTCTGAGAAAAACGGACATGTTTGCAGAACTCTTATATGTTCGGCTTGGCGGCAGGTGCAGAAGAAAGAAAGTTGGCAAATTATTTGTTCACGGTAATAATAAATTCATGGTACAGAAGTGACCGCAAAAATTATGAAAGTACCGCGAATATACCATGGTTTACTGTACCTTTGCTGAGGACGCCATGTTTTTGGTGCTGTTTGTTTGTGAATGTGTTTGTTGATAGCCTGACTCAAGAAGTTGTAAATAGATATTTGGGATATCTGGTGTTAAGAAAACAAATGAGTTGTAGTTTAATCCCCCTGGTGACCTTCCTTGAAACTGCAATGGAACAACAGCTATGATTTTCACTAGTCTTACTCCTATCTAAAATGTTTATAAAATGTAATTTTTTATCTTATTTCACATACACCTCTTAATTTTCTGTTAATAAAAAATTTTGTGCAACAAAATGATAAAATCGGTTTGAATAAATAGGACAAACCAGGGCCTTTGGTTGGGTAGTTTTCATTCAGCCGAGCTATAGATGTGATATATAGTTGAGTTCTCAGGCCTTCTTCTAAACTGTAATGTTCCGATATGTCTTGGACTTGAGAAAATCCTCCATTGGCCCCCAATAAGGCAGGCTTGACAGCCCCTCCCCCCGCGGGGTATTTACAATGCAACTGGGTCCATTGGAGCCCGTTATGAATTGTCCAACCTCCCGTTTATTACACTTTGACAAAACAATTTTCTAAGCAAATCTAATATACCCGTTCCTCATTTTCCCAAATGTGAAATGTCAGGCTGCTGGCAGGGTTCGCTGGCGCGCGGCAATCCATCTCCCGCGACTCGTCGTGATCGCTCGCGACGTCCCCGGGACGGTTTTCCCGCGAGCTGCACCCATCGCCGTCACCCCGGCGGAGATTTATCGTCGTTTAGCCGAGCTCGCGGCCACATTAGTTATAAGCAGGCTGTTGTCGCCCGGGGTAATTTATGCATTGGCTGGGGTGTTGAAGCGTGTAGGGCATGAATTTTGGTGAGCTCTGGGCGGGAGGGAGGGCCACCGAGGAGATTGGCAGATTGTTTCGCTCCGACAAGGCGGTAACTCTCGCAGGAATCGCGGTTAGGGAAGCAGCAAGTGTTCTCTGACTGGCGAGGAAACAAGCGTATTGAATCTTTTCACCACCCCGATTATATTGAATAGCAGCGGAAATAATTTCGACATAATTTATTGATCTTTATTAATTCATCACACGTAAATGTTAAAGTCATGTCTGATATTATAAAGCTTTATCAAACAGCCATGAGTAGTTACATCTAGCCGGTAAATCACTGGATAACATTAGTGCTTTGTACACAAGTGTTCATCCTTGCCGAGATTTTGATAGCCATCTGTCACCTTCCTCAGGGCAATACTGACTAGTGGCTCTACCTCACACTACAGCTAGGTGTCACTGTTGCAATGTGAAACATGAGGCCCCAAACTGAGTCCATATCCTCCTTAAAATGTCAGGTGGTGGAAATGACAAATGATTTGAGAGGTTGCAGGCCTCGAAATTAAAATTTTTTCCTTTGTCCCAGCATTGTCCCGAAAAATAAATCTCAATTGTCCCGAAGTGAGGATGAACTGTCCCAACCTGTTTTTCAGGGAGTGAACTTGAAGTCAGCTTTATTTTGTTTACGTTCTGACTTCCAGGCGTGCTATAATTGCAGATAATCAATCAGAGTAAATGGGAAATTTTGGGGAGCTTTCTCCGGAGCCAAACAAAAGAAAGGCTGACATTCTGATGTTTATTATTTTTCTATTGTCCCAAATATGACCCAAATTGTCTTTTTAGTTGTCGCAGTTTAAATTTTAGTTGTCACTGGTCATCAGGACACCGTTAGTTTCGAGCCCTGGGTTGACTATTATACTGCTGCTATGTCAAACCACGTATTTGTTTTCGCTTTTCTACAAATCTCACTCAGATCGAGACACAGTTTTCTTTAATATCTTGAAAGTATCCATCCTCATAACTGCGTCGTAAAAATTGTGCTGGGACCAGCTCTTCCTGATAACACTATAGGTGGGCACACCACGTGTGTCAACCAAGTACATTACAGGGGAACCATTTAGAGGGTGCTGTTTTGTCACGGTTGGTTGGTGGTGGTTTATTACGCTCCACCACCGTGCAATTATACAGGGAGACAGGCATGTCAGGGAGGGAGGAGGGTAGGAGTTAGGCAGGGTTTGGGAGGGACCAGGGGTTTATAACAGGTCTGTTTTAAAGACTTGTCATTACAGTAAATGATAACCTTTATTGCACAATAATTGTTCAAGGTACAACATATAGCATCTCACAATATTTAGCACCAAACATACTAGATTAATCTACCTTACAAAAGAGTACGTTATAAAAAAAATAAACACTTGATTTCTTGCATTTGTTTACATAAAACAGTTAATTACGTCCGTCCTTCCATCATTTGACAGAATGTTGCTGCGCATGACGGACAAACATTTTGTCCTATCTGTCATGTTTGACAGACAAAAATTGGGATAAAAAAGATATTGAAAGAGCTTAGTCTACCCGCAAAATTTTCCCCCAAAATGCGGGAAATACTTTGTCAAGATTTCAAAATTCCCCCCCCCCCTCGACCCCCCTTAGGATTGTTGCGCATTACATTAAAAAACAAATATTATTTTAAAAAATTCAGGCTGGCTACAACCCTTGGATGAAGTACCAAAATCCATGGAGCCTAAATGGCCGATATTGAGCAACAGACTGATATAAATAAGAACCCTCACTCTCCAGCATTTGTAGTTACGATTATTACCCCACTATTAAAGCTTGCTCGGTGAGAAACTTGCCCACTCAAAATCTGCCACTACAGGCATTTTCCAGCTACCTTTAGCGGTGATTACAGCGAAACACATTATTGGCCAATACTCCCAGCAAGTACGGCCATTATGTGCAAGGTTATGACCACGTATAGAGCAAGTGATGGGCAGAGACATAAACTGATGTAGGCTGGAGCAACCCTTTTATGATGGGCAAAGCCTAAGAATTACAAATTAAAACATTTCCCCCCAGAACACTCAAGTTAAAAGTCAGCTGATGCTTTTCTTTTATATTAAAAAAAACAATAGCAAACAGACCAAGATTCTATGTATGTACTCACCTAGGATTAAAAATTTAAGATTAGGTACAATAAAAGGATTATGGATTTTCAGACCAAAAGGTCAAGACTAGAAGTTAATCCTACTCGTATACATGCCTTATGTGGCTGTCTATTCTATAATTTTTATATGTTACAGTTAGTGATGCATACCTAAACCCAATTTCAGGTTCAGGTCCGGATTCAAGTCCAGAGGTTTAGGTTCAGGTCCGGACTTAAGTCCGGACCTAAACCCATGGCATATACAAAATTGCATGTTGGCAACCTTGCAATGTTGTCTGGGTGAAACTTTGGCCACATAACATGGAGGCCGGTACTCGACGATGCCCGATGGCAATGTTTTCTTCATTTTGCAGCAAAGATTTTGGAATCTACAGAAGGTTTTAGGTGGTTTAAAAAGAAAAGGGGTATGTGAAATGGTCTTTTATGGTAATAAGTCCGGACTCGGTTCTTGACTTTTAGGTTTTTTTGGACTTGAACCTAAACATTTTTACAAGTCCGGATCCAAGTCCAGTGAACCGGTATGCACCACTAGTTACAGTGTCTCTTATGCTTGTGGTTAGCCAGTGATTGGCCGTCAGACTATATCTATGAATTCTGTAGCCATAACCACATCATATACACAGGTTCACTGATAATTGTATTTGGCCACCCTTGCTGATTTATACTCGTTCACCATTGCAGTTTCTGTCCCCGGTATGAATTATGTATTACCCCTGTCTGCTGGCCCTGTCAGAAACACGTCATTGAACAGATCGGAGATATGAATTGGCCTTGAAAATTAGTATGCTCAGGGACAAGCCCCAGAAATGTGACACATAGTTATTCAAGCCAAAGCCACGAATAGCTGTTATCCAGTATGTACCCATATTTGTGATGTCAGGACTACACGATGTAACAAATGAAATATCTTGGCACCTTTGGAAGAAATAAAACTACCATAATCATTCTCTTAATGTGTGAATCTACATTGTACCATGATTGTGATATCAATAATTATGTTTATTGAAGGAAAACATTGTTGTTGCTCTGTTTCTTCTTCCATTCCAAACACTGACCTCTGACCTGGTCAATGACTAGACTGTCTCTCACCACGGTAACTGGTGTTGGGTTACATCATGTTACAATTTTATAGTAGGAGGGATTTAGACTCCTGTCACCATGTATGTAAATGTGTTTGAGTAAGAAGTAACAGAGCAGACCATATGCGAAGGTAAACATAAATATGCATTTTGCTTTGCAAATGTTACCTTTTTAGTTGACTGTTTATTTACTAACAAGTTGAAATATAAAGCCATCATCTAAATAGTCTGTCCACCTTTCAAGTTAACACTACTTTCATGTAGGGCAAATGACAATTTCCCTGCTAAAACGGTATCTTTACTTTGCAGACGACCGCACCCGGATGCCGCAAATAACGCAGGGGATGATGGGATAGGAGCGGATCTCGGAAACTGGGACTTCATCGACCCGACACAGAAGGTTGACTGCAAGTGTTCCAGGTAAGAAATATCTTTTTGTATGACTAAAAAGTTACAATACTGTCATGGGTAGCATATCTTGGTGTGGAGGTTTGCAGTTGCTCTTTTATTTATGTTTCGGCCTAACTGTGGTAGCATGCATAGTCCAGTAGTCAGCGACACTGCCTCTGGACTAAGAGGTTGGGAGTTCGAATCCCGGCTTTTGTTGCTCAGCTGACATGCTCACTACTTGAGAAGAGCTAGGGAAACAGTGAACCTGTAAATACTTTGCATAGAA